GGATAGTATTAAAATCAAAATTTACTATGATGTAATGTACAATTAAATTGTATTGCGACAAAGAGTGTGTGACCTTTAAATCTATTTTAAACATGGAATAATATAGAAAATTAATATTGAGAATAGGGGGAATTTCAAAAATATCACTTTTTAAAAATACCCTCTTTTCAAAATTTATCCAGAACCCTACTAAAATGTTGTAATTTATTCAAATATGTGTGTAAGCTTATAAATATACACACAAATTAACTTTGTATGTGTATAAAATTTTACATATTTTTCATAAATTACGTAAAATAACTTATAAAAACCATATAAACCCTTTTAAAAACCTTATAAACCCTTTTTAAAACCTTGTAAAACTTGTAAAAACTATTTAAAACCTCTTAAAAAATTATAAAATATTTTTATCGAATCTCCCAGTAGTTATTATTATATAGAATTACCTTATAAACTATATAAAACTCTATAATTTTTCATATTTAAACAGGGGTATTTTTGAAAATGTATAGATAAATGAGGTATTTTTGAATAGGGATACACCAAAAAGGGTATTTATCAAAAATTATCTTTAGAATACTACTTAAACTTTCACATAAACTTTTTATTACTCGTGTATCTACACGGGCGTAATCTATTATCATAGGTTTTTATTCATATTACGATTGATCTTAAACATAGATGTGTTCCCATTATTATTATTATTACATTGTTTTTGACGATTTATATCACACAAAATACTTACACAACTACTTACTATGCTACATATGTATTGTTTACTTCTTTATATTTTTATCAATTTTAAATGTTATGGCAAAAAGATATGTTAAATTCTTCATTGTTTAATCCAACTTTTACATATTTTGCACACAATTTTTTTTTTATTAGAAAACTAATTCATGTGTGACCTGAGGTTTCTCTAGTAAAAATATGTAACGGTCTGACCGTCACCATGTTTACTCTCAGCCCATAGGTCCACTTCCTTTAATGGGCCCTATGTCCAATCCCAGTATGTGGACCTACCCATATCTGACGGCCATTTTGCTACGTTTGGGAGACTTTAAAAACTTGTTTAATGACCCTGTAAATCACCACATGATATTTTCCTGTGTTTTGTTCTCACTCACACAGTTTCGACAAACACTTCCCAGAAGATCACTTATCCTTAAACTACTCTAGCATAAGCAAGCTTAACTGTAAAGTTCTCTTAAGACCTTTAACCAAAAAGATAACTGCATTTTTGTGACATAGGTTGCCAAATCAAATACTTCAAACCTCTCTGCAAAAAAGGGTGTTGCAATTCACCCCACTTACAAACCACAATGTATTTGCTGCGCACTAAGATGGTCACCTCCTTACGTTGTGAGCCCACTACTCCACACTCGTCGGGGTGCGGTTCTGATACCACTTATAACGCTTTGATCGTCACCTCTGTTAGTGGGTCCATGTTCACTCTCATGGGTCCTCCTCTCTTAATGGGCCCTACGTCTAATCCTAGTATGTAAGCTCACACATATCCGACGACTGGTTTTTGCTACAGCTTGTTAACTGTGGGGTTCTCACATGACTTTTGACCGAAAAGATAAGTGCACTTTTGTGAACTAAGTGGCCAAATCAATTCCTTTAAACCTCTCCGCAAACCAGGGTGTCACAAAGTAGGTATGGAAAAATTACTCAAAATAAAAAACCAAAGAACCAAACTTAGACTAACTCGAAAAATAAAACTAAACCGAACATGAAACCGAAAAATACATGAAAAAATTATAGCCACCTATACCAGATGAATCAGAACTAAATACAGACCAAACCAAAAACTGAATGGAATATGAAATCTAATTATATATCCAAATCAGTTTTATAAACCAATTATATAAATTTACAATTACAAACCCCGAAGATATCAGTAATTTATATTTCAAAATAACCAAAAATATTATATCTTAGCTATATGTGTTGAAATTTAACCAAAATTTTATTCGATATCTGGAACCTATTCGAACCGAACTTAAATGGAATCAAACAAAATATAGAATGAACCAAATCAAAACCGAACCAAAATTCTAAAATATTTGTATGGATCATACATTCTTTTACCGTAATAGAACGAGTGTAAAATTTTATCTACAAATCTTCTTCATATTAATATTAAAAGAGAAGTACAAAATTAAAAATCATTAAATTTTTGTCAAAACAAATTCAAAATTACCCCTTAATTTTAGATAAAGTAGAGTCTTTCTCAAAATCAATTAGGATATAACCGTAAAACAAAAAAAAAGAATTTAATAAAACCCGGTCGGAGGCTCCACGCAACTCCTGCAAGGAAGAAACGTGATTAAACATTATTTGGATCGTTTTCAGGCTTCTTATGTAGAGTAATCAAATTTTTTATTAAATCCATCACTAACTGTTTTAAGCCCACTACTCCCTTTGTTTCAACTTTAAATACACGAAATATTGACATATATATCAAAATGTATTTTATTGCCCCATTATTGCAACAAATATTATAATACTATATATGTATGGGGTAAGAAAAAAATGTAACACGTACAAAATAAAATTTTATACATCTCTATATTAATAAAAAGAAAGTACACAACTTCAATATTGGTACTTAACTTACAATACAGTGCCAGTACAAATTTGATTAAATTTATTATTTATTAAAATACTTATTATAACATGATGAATTAACATATAAATTTATATAATTAATTAAATTATAAAGCCATTATTAACTTTTTAAAATCAAAAAGTAAAATACATGATTAATTTTTTTAAATTGATAACCAATCACAATAAATATAGTAGATTTGATATCTAACTTATCATATTAATTTTTTATTAATTATTATATTTCACGTTACATTTTTTTCTTATTTCACGTTACATCTTTCTATGCTACATTTTTGTGAAACAAATAACTCATCATATCATTTATATAATAAGATTTTTTTTTTTTTTTTGCATATACCATGATTTGAATTTTTAAAAACGAATACAAATTGCTCAATTTATAAAACAAACATTATAACGGGTCAAGTATTTTAAACTTGAGTAATATAATGCAAAAACATTTATACTATTTCTCCCAAGGCTAGCATTCTTCAAAATATATACAACAAAAATTTTGACTAAATATATACAACAGTTGTTTGGGGATCTTCACGTTTGGGACATACAAACACTCCTTTGGAGGCGAAGACAAAAGCTTTGTTATCAGCTCTTCAAGATATATGTTTCAAAGGTGATTGTGAAACACTTATCAAAAATATTAATGGACAATCAACTAATCATATTATTACCAGTTTAGTCCGAGACATTCACTTCTAGGCTGCAAAATTCTACTCTGTCACTTTCTTCTTTGTTAAAAGCGCTTCTAATGGTGCTGCTCATAGTTTAGCTAAATATGGTTGTATTGATTGTAATTTTTACACAAACTCTATTTATCAGCATCTTTGGCTTCAGAACGAACTATGTATTGACTCTTTTACATCAATATAATTAATCTTTTTGAGGAAAAAAAAACGGGTAAGAATTTAAATAAAATGTATAGTTTTATATACTGCAATAAATTGGTTAAATATTTAATTTTGTAACATGTAATATAAAATGAGTTACGATCCTTGTATAAGCCGGCGAAAATAATTATAAGAATAAATAAGATCACAATAAAAAAATCTATATATAACATAACAAAATATTGAAATGGAAAATATGAAAAAAGTTTTATAGTATAAAATACAACCCGTGCCGTAGAATTAAATCAAATTCGGTATATACTCACATTAAATCTCAACATCTAAATTAATTATTCAAATATTTGATAACGTTAGGAACCAAACCTCATGTTTTGCTAAAGTTTTGCATCTGCAACCACAACTCTTTTATTTAAATCAATCAAACTCTATATCCTTACAATAAAAACATTTTTTATAATCGAGTAGCAAAACCATCATAAGATAACCACTATTGATATGAAAATTTTTAATTGCAAATATTATCTCGCGGTGTACCGCGGGTTAAACCCTAATGATATTATACAAACATATGCATCAAAAGAAAATTCACATCCCAAGATAAAAACTAGTAAATCTACAACTTTCAGTTTCACAAGTAAATATAAGATTTTGCGTGAAACATATTTCAGTGGTACATCATAACATTAAAGAAATTTCAATTCCATATACTAATTGATATTCTAGCAAATATATATTTGGATGAGATTTTTTTCTTAAAATTACGTATTAGAAAGAAAGAACATTCAAAATATGCAAGGGGATAATGAACCTTATCACTTCTTATAATTCACGAATTAATTGCAAACAATAAAATAAATCTTGACCAAAAATTTATTAGTAAATATATATTACACATAGAAATAAAATCAATATTAACATAATACACTATCAAATAATTTTTAAAATTTTTCTTTTGTACTTATAGGATAAGACCATTCATAAGGTGAGATAATCTTTTGCTAGAAGCATATTTAGGTAACTAGTGATTCTGATGAACACGTATACTTACTTTTTGTACTTATTTAAATTGGGAGAATCTATCTAGCTAATGGAAATAAAAATAAAAAAATAAAGATTATTATTACATGGCACAACACAACACAACACAACTAGGAAACAAAACAAAACAAAAAAAGGAAAGAAACCGAATATATTTGGTCTGGTCCGGTCCGGTTCTGTCTGGTTTAGTTGAGTTTTGAACTGAATCAAAACGAGGGACGTGTGTAGAGGCAAAGGCTGAGAAAAACTTTTTGGTTGGGGACGTGTGACAATTTTACTTAGCTACCAAAAATAAAAATCAAAATTTTTTTTTTCTTCTTCTTCAACATTTACATTAAAGTAAGATTTAACACATTAATATTTACAATTATTTTGTTGATTTTAGGATTTAGCTATTCAATATTTGTGTATCTTTGGAAACTGTTCTTATGACTGACTTTTTTTTTTAATTATAACTTCTCTTCTCCTCTTTCTCTCTATCTCTTCTTGACCAAATTGTTTTGCTTTTTATTCAATTTCCTTAAATTATTGATTTCTTTTTTTTTGGTTATATGGTAAATTACACATTGTCGTCTCCTCCTAATAATCCTCTTTTCTGTTCCCATTTGTGTTGTTGTGCTTTGCTCTTCCCCTTCCCTTTTCCTCATTCTCTCTTCCTTCTCCTCTCTCCACAAAGCGGTAGGTTTTTTCTTCTTCCTCTCTCTCTTCCTTTCAATCGGTGAGTGTTTTTTTTTAATCGGTTTCATCATAAAGTTTTGATTTTTATTTTTTTTAAAGGTTTCTTAGATCAATTCATGGTTCTGTTCTCATGTTGTTGTCCTTTCTGGTTTATGTTGGGTTTTTAAAGCTTGATCGAAACATGTGAGAATCGGGTTGGTGGGTGGTTTGTTTTTGAAATCAGTCTTTTTGAAATTTTTGAAATTTTTTGTTTCAAATTCTGTAGAATTGTTCTTGCGGTGGATTTGATTTATTGAGGAGGAGGAGAAAAAACATGTTTTTGTTAATGGGTTTTAGGTGTTTGAATCGGATCTTTACTTCTATGAACTTGTTTTTGTGTTTTGTGTGAAAAAGTTTGGTTCTTTTTGAGGTTTGTGAATTTGTTTATGTGAATGTGATGATGCTTTACCTTGAAGCTGTGGTTTTTTTTTCCTTTGCTTTACCTTGCTGTTTCCAATATGTTTGCTTTGTATTGAGGATTTGTGATACTTTTTATTATTACCTTCTTGGCATGTGATTGTTTATATCCTTTTGGTTAGTTTATATGTCATTCATGAGGCAGTGCTTGATTTGGTTATGTACATTTTGATATTCTCTTATTTTGATGCCATTGTGGTGGTAGTTGAGTAAAAATGTTTTCACTCTTTTCCCTGTATTGTTTAGTTTTGTTTCAACTAGCATGCTTGTTGCGTGGTCCTTGCTTTTATTCGTACCTTCTTTGCATTGATGCTTGGTTTCGAAGTTGACAATTAGATGCCAGTTTGATGATTTAGCTTGTAAAAAACAGAAGTGAAGTAGTTTTTTGTGTGTTTAGAATGGTGGATCATATGAACTGCATCTTACTGTTTAAGCTTGTTAACAACTCGTGTGCTATCAGTTTCTTTCTAAATCATTTGTGTTTCCTTTAGGCCTCTAGAAGTGAGTCTACATTTGTATATACCGGGAATTGCAATCTGTCTATATAGTAGTAGCTGTAGCGGTCTTGCTTCGGGTGAGTTTTTTCCCCTTGTGTTGTTCTAGATGAAGCAGGTCATGTGAATATATATGCAATATGTGGCATGTGGGTGCGATTTATTATTACCATTGTAGGAGCTTTGTTTTGGTTGAGTGTTTTCATTTGTTCTTTTATTACAGTTACAATTTTTATGTGACATTGTATACAAGCCTTTCAATGCCTTTGTTACTGAATGATCTGCTGTCTTTGTTGTTTTGCAGTCTCCCCATTAGGCACGTTGTTGAGAGCAGGGAAGTCTCGTGAGTTCTCGTCTCTCGAGTGTAACTGTGGTTAAAGCCTAGCCAAGATGCAGGGAGAGAGGGCCAGTCTTGGCTATTTATCAGAGGCCGTGAACTTTGAGCATGGCTCTTCTTCAAGTAATGGTGTGATAGATCACTGGGAGAATATTCATAGTCTTGGTGATAATGACTTGCAGGATTACATGATTGCAAATTATGAATCAAACGCTTCGCTTGCAAACTCAGTTTATCGCGAGCAACAGGATTTACGCAGATTTAGCCGCGGTGAGGCTAGCTCTAGTGGCACGAAGGATGAAGCTGCCAGTCACAATGAGCAAAGAATGGAATCTAGATGCTTTGACGGACGAAGAAATGAAATAATTGATTTAGATCCAGTGTTTGGGCAACCATCAGGCACAAATCAACCTGTTCAGAATGTCAATCTGAATGCAGAATATATAGAAATTCATGAGGATATTAATCCATATAGGGCTAGGTCTGGTTTTTTAGAAGCTAATGGACTAGGGACAAGGGTTTCACAACCTGTCAGATCTTTTGAAGAGAACAGTCTTGGGACAGGTTCTTCTGTAGAGGGTCGTCGTGCATCCTACAAGAGAAAACCTCTTGAAGGCAGTATTGGTCAATCTTCTTCAGGAGGTTGTCGTGATTTCCAGCGTGGAGAAAGCAGTTCGTGGACCCCAGCATCTCCCGTTTACAGGCAAGGAAATGGGATAAATATATCTGGCTCCCTCGACAATGGACCAAGAGGAATAGTCTCCGGTACTGCTCCAAATTTTCCTGTTTCTGTGATTGGAGAGAGCTCCAGTAGAAATGTATGCGTCAGAAGTAATCCCTCAGATCAGCAAGAAGTTGTAAACCTAGCTGCATTTTCTGCGGGAACTGTTGTTAGGCGACCTATTCCTCCATCCCAGTCGAATTTATCAGGAGTTTTACCAGCAGATCAACATTCACTGGACCTGAGACCTGGACACTCTTTCGTCTTTTCTCGTAGCCGAAATGCTCCTGCTGTGGGCATACCACCTTGTTCAAGGACTATGCTACCACCATTTCAGTGGACTGAGGGGTCACTAGCGGGTGGAACATCTAGCTCTACCCCGCATGTTGAGAGAAATTTTCATCTAGATGAAACAAGGACAAGAAGCTTATCCGGGAATATTCAAGAGAATCTCATGTTTGTTCCAGGTCCTGACCTCAGAAATTTGGCTCGTAGTCAGAGTAACAGAAATGTAACAAGTGGAAACCTGAATATTGCATCATCATTACCCAGAACAAGTTCAACAACAGGTGTTCCACCACCATCTTCTAATCTAGCGTGGACGCCTTACCAGAATTCACCACACTATCAAAGAAGAAGGTCTGAACGATCTGAACTTGTCCGTAGGTCCTTGATTTCTTCCCTTGCTGTAGATGCTACAAACCAGAGATCTGGTGATCATCCAACACTTCGTCCAGTGGCCCCTCCTACCTCTCCGGACGGGCTTGTACTTCAGCCAGGTGGTGATAATACTCAGATGCATAATCGGGCTTACACAAGAGCAGGTCCATGGCTTGATAGGCAAGGCGATAGTGTGGTTGGTATTCCTCATTCTTTGTGGGCCTTGGCCGCTGCAAGCAGAGGAAGAAGCAGACTCATGGTGTCCCAGGTCAGTTCATTCAAATTATGTTGACATGTAGCCTTTAATGTGGATGGTTTTTTTTTTTTTGGCTAACTCAGTTACCAGACCATATGTTTGTATTCGAGCAGTCATTCAAACAGAACTAACATTGCACTTCTTTTTTGGACATATGCAGAATGTCTTGGATGTCATGCGTAGGGATGCTAATAATAACTTGCGGCTTGAGGTTAGTTTTTCCTGACTATAGCAAAGTTATCTAAATTCGAACTTGCCATGTGCTTTCTCTGTTGAATCCTAGAAGAACTAGCCTAATCATAGCAACATAAAAAATCGGGATGGCTATTTCTCCAGGACGTTATGCTTCTAAATCAGTCAGCGCTTCTTGATGGGCCTGCTGGTATTCATGATCGATATAGAGACATGCGACTTGATGTAGACAACATGTCATATGAGGTAAACACCATAACAAACCATTAATCTTTGTCGAGTCAAGTTAAATCATAAAAACCTCACTCCTTTGGTTCATAACTGTAGGAATTGTTGGCACTAGAAGAACGGATTGGAGATGTTTGTACTGGTATTAACGAGGAAACCATATCAAACCGGTTAAAGCAACGAAGGTACAAAAGCAACACAAAATCTCCACAAGATGTAGAGTCATGCTGTATTTGTCAGGTATATACATGAGTTGCTTCAATAACATTAAGATATAAGAATATATTAGCTTTTTCTTTTCGTCCAGAATATGAATGGTGAAAAACTTGGTGCAGGAGGAATACACTGAGGGAGAAGACATGGGGACACTAGAATGTGGACATGAATTCCATAGCCAATGCATAAAAGAATGGCTGAAACAGAAGAATATTTGCCCAATCTGCAAGACCACAGGCTTGAACACCGCGAAGAAGCGCAGGATAGGATGATGATAACTCCAAGAGAGCTTCTTCTTCTTCTTCTTCTTCTTTGGAACAATTCATTTTATAATCAAAAATGAAAGAAAATGAAGACACCCTTCAAGTCCCCCACCATTGTAGAGCCAGGCAAGTTGGTTCCCAATTTTTTTTTTTGTGTTTTAAATAGAAGTTGTTGGTATTTATAATCTGAGTATGAAAAGATGGAAAGATTTGGATTGAAGGCAAAGATGGAGGGTGATAGGGAAATGTTGTTTTTCTTTTTCTGGATTTGTTTGGATAATTTAACTTCTACCCCTTGTCAATTAAGTTTATGAAAATCTTTTGAAAAAAAGCAGATAAGTTGAATTAGGCTGATTTTGAGCTTATACAAGCATTGAAAGCCCATATAATTGTTTTTTGTTACTTCTACAATAGCTGTCTTAGTTTGCTTACAGTTTTGGCTACAACAAATATCAATTGTTGCAATTTTAAGGAACAAAATCTAGGTGGATAGTGTGTATGTGCAAAAATGGTTGTCCCTTTAGAGTAAATGTTGTAATCATATTCGTATTCATAGGGGACTTGAAAAAAGAAACTTAATGGTAAATGTTTAACAATTAGGACTTGTTAATTCGTAAATATTTGAACTGATCAATCTCTTGAACCTTTAATTTCCTATATGCTTCGATACACATCCGGATCCCATAGTTTCAAAGAGATTGAGTTTTTACTCTCTTTGGTTGTTGTTTCTTTCTAAATCTTTAAACTATTATGCATTTTTTCTAGATATTTTTTTATACTAGGTTCGGGTCCGTGCTACACGCGGAGGAATGTTTCTGTTTATTAATTTACTGTTAATATGTTATATCCCATTTTTTATTACTTTGATTATTTTAAAAACAACAAATAATTGAAAATGTATCAATGGTCCCAGTTTCGGGGAAAATTGTGTTTCTTTACAAAAAGAAAAAAAATCGCGAGTTGAACGGTGATATACTAGTAATTAGTTAAATGTAAGTCATTTGTTTTCGCAAAGGGAATATTGGTATTTATACAAATTTCAATCTCTAGTGTTAAATTTGACTATAACAAATAAATACAATTATAATAAAATTTTATAATAATGGTACCATGTCTTTACTAATTAAATTTTGTTATTTAAATTTATTTGTTTAAAAATAATACTCATCACCCTTTAGTCATATTAAATTAGAAGTTTTTACTTGCATTGATATTTTTTTCTTAAATTTTAAATGTTCATAAAAAATTAAGTATGATATTTATAATATGCTTCTTTAACAAAATAATTAGTGTCGTAAATCTATTACGGTTACAATGTTATTTATTGCTATGTTGATTTTTCAGTGACCTATATATAAAGAGCTCATCTAACTTCATTTTGAAATAAGAAACACAAATCATTGTTCAGTAAATTAACTACAAATAATAATTAACCAAAGAAATTTTGGCATACGAAGAGATGTCTAAAGTTACCACTCAGATTACTACGCTATTCATTGTTGTAGCTTTGGTGTGTTCTTTTGTTCCTGTTTATTCAATTGAAGAAGTTGAAGCAAAATTATTATGGGATACTTGTCTTGTCAAAATCACTCTTAAGTGTGCGTTGAACATAATCTCCGTTGTCTTTGGAAATGGAACAATTTTTTATCCTTGTTGCAACGATCTCATCAAAGAAGGAAAAGTATGTCATGATACGCTTACTAAATATACACTTATTAAATATATTGCTGACAGACCCAATTTGATTGCTCACGAAACTGAATATTTGAAGAAGAGAGATGAAGTATGGACATTGTGTCTCGATCACTAAAACAGTTTAAAATATGTATTGCTTATAGTATGGTGACCGACTAAACTTATATTTTCTTTTTTTTTCTCAAATTTTCTTACCATAAAATATTTATATTTTTTACTCAAATGCGATATTAATCAAGGCGAATCTTTCTGCAAATGAGTAAGTCAATTTATATATCTCATTTTATTTTGAGTATAGTCTAAATTTTTCCTTGACGATTCCTAAATTATTTCAAAAATAAATTATTAAAATTAAGCTGAGTTACCAATAATGTTATTACTAATTGCATTTAATTTTTTATATATATTTTGACTCTCCAAAAAATATGTTTTTATATTTTTTTAAATTGTTTTTTAGCATTTCTTTTTCTAAGAATTGTAAGAACTTTGTTTTTTTTTTTATTTTGAAGAAAAATATTTAACTCTAATATTAATATTTATCATTAAGATGCCAACCTTTAAATGAAAACGTTAGAAAAATAACCAAAATCAAATACTTCAAAACCTTTTATAACAACAAAACTAATAATTAATTATTTACTAGACAATTAGACAAATCATATTCGTCTCAAGCCGACCAGTAGGTTTTATAAACAACCCATGTGTTAACAATGTTGACTTGTGGATATACACCAACCTTCATATAAATGACCATCGTAATCGTAACATTAATATATAATTAACAAATCTAAAGCATAGGCTCATGGCACAATATTATAATATTACTATATATAAATCTTAACATTATATAAGTAAACAAAGCTAACGTGATTAGCTTACAAAACAACTCTTCCACGTTTTTGAAACTCAATTAACGTTGACAAATTAAACCACAAACCCCAAAAACAAAAACATACCAAAAAAAATGTGTTCAACCAAAAACTACTTTGTGTTGGATCCAAGAGAAGCAACCATCTCTGATCTTATTCGGCTTCTCTTCTCCTCGGATGTCGAAGATAGAAAATTCATCGATTCTTCGGAAGAGAGGCGGCTTGAGGATGATCTTTCAAGATTCAGACGACGGTGGATCATTTTTGTATCCATTGTTGTTCAGAAACTCATGATTCTCCTAAAGAAACCTCTCTATTTTTTGGGATTCTTTCTTGCGTATTGGCTTAACCTTCTTTCTTCTAATGGTGGTTTCTTCATGATACTCCCAAATCTTTTCAAAGGTAATATTTTCTTTAAAGAGTTTTTTTTTTCCTTTTGTTTAGAACTTAGAGCTAAAGGTAAAATTTATTGTCAAAAACATTATAATTTCTTCGTTTCGAAATGATGGTTAAATATGAATTATAGACTTCACAAAAGATTATGCTTCAGTAAAGTTAAAATTTCATATCAAATCCTTTTCCTTTTGCTTAGAACTTAGAGCTATACGTTGGTTAAAAAAACACTAAAGGTAAAATTTATCGTCAAAAACATTATAGTTTCATGGTTGATATGAATTATATACTTCACAAAAGATTATGATTCAGTATTATCATAATCATATAGTTAATGATGTTGAAACTACGTTTTAAAAGACGTCCTACAAACAAACTCAATTGGTGTTAACAATATGATTACCTAAATTTTAGAATTTTGTGTGCAAATTCCTTTGTGCGAGTTAGATCATAAGTTTAACATAGATATATTTCAGGGAAACTTATTTGGCCGGAAAAAACATCAGCGACATTCGCGTCGCTAATCGGAAACGTAGACCGGCGAGTAGAGTTAGATCAGAAGGTAGAGAAAGGAAGTAAAAGATACAAAGTAATGTTGTCAATTATGGCTTCTAAGCTGTCTTATGAGAATAGAAACTTTGTCAGCTCTGTTCTTCATAACCATTGGAAGGTTTTATTCTTTTTGACTCTTTCTTTTTTTTGTTAACTACTTTTTGAGAATTTTTCTTTTATAGTATAGTTTTGTTGTGAATATGGACTTTGGGTTGATCTTGTTGACAATGAATGTGATGTGACTGACGCCAAAATGGAGATAAGCAAGATATTCTTGGCGTAAAAGTTTCATATAAATATATTGTCATTAGCTGTATCTTTCTTGGTCGAATTATTTAACTTATCTTATAATTATAAGCTGATTATGCATGGTTTCTTTTGATTAAGAAAATAAGATAAATAATCATTATAAAAAGCAGATTAAGTTGTGTGTTAACGACTTTAAATCCCACTTTCTAATTGACTAATTGTATTGTGGCACAGATGGACTTACTAGGTTTCTACAGCTGTTGGAATGGTGAGACTACTTCTCCTCTATACATTATTAATTGATTGATGAATAAATAACTTAATTAGCCCAAAGAAGGCAAATACCACATGAAACACACTGTCTAAATGTGCAATATTTTATTTATTCTTACCTAAATGAGGTTGGTTAAAATAATATCAAGTCAGAAAAATAACAACCAAAGAAATTTGTATATATTACCTTCACTATAATGGGGAAGACTAATCAAACTTTTAATTACGACTTACACATTTTCATTTAAAATATATATATGTGTCATAAAATTTGAATTATAATGGAGAAGACTAAACAAAATTTTAACCTCAATTTATCTATAATTTTATAATTTTGCCTTAATTATTTCATAGTCTTGAGAGTAATAAATTAAAATTTTCTATTTATATTAAATACAGAAAAAAAAATATAATTATTTTTTTTTTCCTTGAATTTCTTAGGTTACCAGAAACAAAGATCAACAGAAGTGATTGTTATAAAAGACACAACCACAGATCCAAACCTCATCATCGTTAGTTTCAGAGGCACTGATCCTTTCGATGCCGATGACTGGTGTACAGATTTGGATCTCTCCTGGTAATGTTGTTTTGTTTTGCTTTTATTTATCTTCACAAACAAATTTTCATTAGTTACTTCTAACTAGGTTAGTTCATAACCTCATCATTTAGTCCCCCTAATAAAACTAGTATTGTTGATGTCCAATATAGGTACGAGGTTAAGAATGTGGGAAAGATCCATGGAGGATTCTTGAAAGCTTTAGGCCTTCAAAAAGAAGGATGGCCTAAAGAAGTAAACCTTGACCAAACCCAAAATGAAACAACTCTTTACGCTTACTACACTGTTAGACGTAACTTAAAAGAGATTCTCGGCCAAAACCCGACATCCAAATTTATACTTACCGGACATAGTCTAGGTGGTGCCCTAGCGATCCTATTCACGGCCGTGTTAGTGATGCATGAAGAGGAGAAAATGCTAGAAAGGCTTGAAGGAGTTTACACTTTTGGGCAGCCACGCGTAGGCGACGAGGAGTTTGGAACATTCATGAAAGATTCGTTGAAGAAGTTTGACGTCAAGTACGAAAGATATGTTTATTGCAATGACATGGTTCCTAGGTTGCCTTTTGACGACAAAACACTCATGTTCAAACACTTTGGTGCTTGTCTTTACTATGACAGTTTCTATAATGGAAAGGTTGGTTGCATATTTGGAGAATCTACTTCTAGTGATCATAGTTTGGGAACAAGACAGGACACAAACTTATTGGTTATATGATGATAATTATAACGTTTTGTTGTTTGATATTATGTTCAGGTAGAGGAAGAGGAGCCAAACAAAAACTAC